CCGCATTGAGAGTGTTTAACGATTGGGAACCGTGTAAGTATCCTCCTAAGCTGACTGAGTCTCATATCAAATCTGTTGCTGGTGGGACAAATCCAGTTGAATATAACAAGGGGAAAGCAGAATATGAACCAAAGGAGATCAAGGAAAAGAAAGATGATGATCTTACTGTTCCTCGTTTTCTGAAGTTCCATATCTACTACGAAAAGGGAGAATTGCCGCCAATCTTCGGCTGTAAGAACACAGAAACGTATCTCGATGTTATCAATCTGAAGAAAGGAGTCGTCACAATGGAGAGACTATACAAGTTTAGCAAGAACAACATTGCTTACATCTTACAAGGCGGAAACGGATACTACTTGACTAAAAATCGGGATGCATTCGGAGAAATTGATTACGTGGTTGTCAAAGATATCAAACTGTTTGATATGATGTTCGGCATCAACAATGCGATTGAACTTGACGATGATGGGCAAATTAAGTTTGATAACACAGAACTTGATACCGATAGCATCATGCGTCTGCCATTACGTGATGTAATCTACCAGTATCGTGATGATATCACATACGGTAAGGTTGATTTTATGCCATACAATGCCAAGACAGGAGCTTGTGACAGTCAATTGAACAAATTCGATTGGAACTCGAACGAAGTCTTCAATAATTCAACGGATTCGTTCATACCTACGATCCTAACTTTGTTGTCGATGAAACTAAGTTCAACTGCTTCACAGAGCATATCAAGCACATCTGGGGTGGTGGTCGGGAAGATATCCTGAGCTACAATATGAAGTTATTTGCTTGGTACGTTCAGAGACCATACGAAAAGTCAGGGGCATGTGTTGGTCTTGAGGGGGAAGAAGGATGCGGAAAGAACACGATATACGAGATTCTCTTTAATCATGTAATGGGAAAGAAGGAGAGAAAAGGTATCGACCCCTACCGAATCAAAGACTGCAACAATATTATCATTGCGTCTAATAACTCGTACAGTGTGAAAGCGTCGAACCAAATGCGTCGATTTGTTTATTTGCTATACAAGTGTGATCATATTGGGCAAAAATCCTATTTCGATCAGATCCGCAACCGATTTAACAAAGCCGATGGCGGTATTCATCTCTACCATTATCTCATAAGCATCGACCTAGAAGGATTTCACCCACAGAAAGATGCACTAATGACTAAAGAAAAGCCTGACATGCAACAGTCAGCTATTGAAAAACTGATTCAATGGCTTTTTGAATGTGTAGCGAATGGAACCAGCAGCAATATTTTCAGTAACGCTCAGTTAAAGGATTCCCCCAGCACTTTGGAATTCGTACCAATTGATGATATGCTCACAGAATTCACCAAGTGGATGGTCGAGGAATCAAGAGACACATCATCATATACACGGGATCATTTCTCAAAGAGCCTGACTAAGATTCTTGGACCTAACTATAAGAAGCAAGTCAATCGAGTGCGTCGAAGAGGATACGACCTATCCGTTGATTCTCTCAGATAAATCATTATCAAACACACTCGACGAACTGACATATTCGATGACGAAAAGTAATCGATCATATTACAAAAAAAAAAATTATCAATCAGACGCTGAAGATGACGACTGTTCGGTGTTTGATTCTGGTTGTTCGGCCTTTACACGACCCCATCTATGCTTGTTTTCCTGTCAGTATCTTGATTTATACTAGTACGCTAATATCTTCTCTCGATTCTTCTCGTAATAGCGCTTTTGAACTTCACTAAGGGGCATGTTTGTGTGTCTGTATATTAGTAAGATTAATGGTCAAGATCAAGTCAAAAGAATTGGAGCTTAAGTTTCATGCTGAGCTTTAGTCCAATCGATGTGCTTTTCGATTTAAAGTGATATGTTCTGCCTCTATATTGGCATCGACCGCCGCACTCACACGTAACCTTCTCGACAAGCCGATCTTTACGAATCTCGTTGTATTGCTTGCATTTCCCATTAAGTGCTTCTTTATTGGCTTCCCAGTATCTTTTTACAGTCTCTCTTTGCTTGTGCTTCTTTAGTGGTGAAATAGAAAGCCCCTTATTCGAGCAAGTTTTCATGAATTTGTTGATCCATAGTGCTTCATAAGCAAATAACTGTGATCTATCGACAACTTCATACTGCTTGATTAATGTAATCTTAAGCTCATATGGACCATACTTCTGGAAATATGGATAGATAGCGATCGCAACGTTTGTTTTACCTTCATCCCAACGCTTAAATTGAGACCGATGCCCATTCATACGTTGCTCCAGTAATTTAAACGCAAATATCACTTTGACTACAAACGATTCTATATACGAATCCAATCATGTTTGCTCTTTTATATATATCTATATTATATATCAGGATCATCCAAGTCGAAAGCTTCCACCCTTAATTCGACGGCAAGTCAAGGCGGGTGGTGTCATTCCTACTCCGCTCACGCTTTTGACTCACTCACGCAATGGACCTGCTTCAGGACCAGCCGCAGTTGCAATACCATCCAGAAGTGATTGGTTTCCAGTGGATTAAGCTTATTTCCGCTACAAAAAAAGATGGAAACCGATACATAGGAAATTCCGGATGACTTCCACTACTAATACCATGTGATACAATCAGATGATGAGAACGCTCAATCTTAGCAAACCGGCCGGTGGTATCTTACTATAATTATTCGAAACAACAACTAGCAGTTGCTCGATGTAACCACCCACGCTTATTAATGACCCTCCCCACACACCACAAAAAACGACCCTCCTTACACATCACAGTTGTATTGGCCCACCACTATTATCGGAGTGCCTCTGTCCTGATGAGCGACGACGCTGTTGAGGCAACAGCAAGCGTGTCGGGAAAAGCTAGACCGATCTATGAGGAAATATCAACTCATGCATCTGAAGAGGACGCCATAACAGCTCTTCACTGTGTGGATTCATCTGAATACGAGTATCTTCGGGCTTACGGGAATCCTCCGAGGCGTGTCAGTTTGTATCACTGCATCTCGCATGCCTCCTGTGAGCGAAGGATCAGAATTGTCAAGCGTACAGACTTCTCTGCTGTAGGAGCGGTTGCTTCAACTGCTTTTGTTGTAGAGGAGCACGGAGAGCATGAGAGCAAAGTCACCCATCGCAAGCGCTCTGGGATAGACATGTCCTTGAAGCCAGAAGTCGATAGTATGCTGAGAGGAGGTGCGGGGCCCAAACGCATTCGACTGCTTTTGTTGAAAAAGTATAAGAAGGAGAAAGTGAAGCAGGCGAAGATCCCTGACGCGATAATGCTCAAAAACCGCAAGGCTTCGCTGAAAAAAAGCAGTAAAAATGCTTGGGAAATTTCGAATTTCACTGTCATGATGGAGTGGGCAAGTCCGCGGATGTGCACTGATCGTGACGTTTTCTTCGGTTGGATGGGAGGCTTTGATGTTCAGAACGACAAACGTACATTTGACGAAAAAGACTTGGAATTTCAGAATGACCTAATTATTCTGAATACGTTCGACCACACTTTCACCGACGAGGATGGAAAAGAAGCTACTTCGTTTGGTTTCATTTTTACGTCAAGGCGCATCTTTCGCAATGTGTACTACTAGATGGAGGCACAAAATACCGACGGAGTTGTCGGTTTGACCGACGGCACATATCGAATCGATTTCAGTATGTGTTTCTCTTTTTTTTTTTTACTTATTTGTAGCGTTTTATTTTATTTTTCTAACTTAACTTCTCCAAATATCTTGTAGATCGATGGACACTGGTCTGTTTCGCGACGGCTTGTGGTGTCTACAACAACCGTACCTACAGAAGATCCTTCGTACCGTGGGTGTACATGTTCGTACGAACCGAACACGAGTACGCTTACAAAACCATGTTCACAACCACGGTGGATTTCGCTGCAAAATACTTTGACTACACGTTGACATTGAAGTACGGAAGTCAAGACCACGCTACATACATCGCAAACGCCTACAAAGCGATTTGGCCGGGTATTGGCATTCTGAACTGCTACCCACATCTATCTCGTAAAGCGTATGAAAAATCCGGGTTGCTGCGAGATCCAACGTTCTATGGCAATCATGTTGATAAGAATATCCATGAGCTCGAATTAGCTCGTTCTCCTCAGCAGTTTCTCGCATTGGCTGAAGAATGTACGAAATTCTGGATCACTAAACATGAACAGGAATATGCATCGTGGCTCACTACTCAGTACCTTGGCGAACGCTGGGGGACATGGTTTTGCACGGTGGCAGCTCCTGGGGTGTTGCCTTCACAAAATCCAATCGAATCTCACCATCAATCCCTTAAAACTGTCTGCGTACCCTCCAAACACGCTGCTACATCCGTGGTTTGCAACGATACACTGCCTTCAGTGCTTTACCTCGACTGCGACAAACCTATCAAGAGCTTCAGTCACTTTGCTGAGGGGCCAATAATTGGGGAAATGGTTGTACACGCACGCATCTTCGTAACAGAAAAAAATGTGTTCAAGAAAATAGACCCTGACGATGAGCAGAAGATACAATCATTCGTCGTCAATACTTGCGAGTACGCTGTGCGATACAACAATGCAACAGGCCAGGTAGTCAACGCCACGCGTGCTGAACGGTAAAGACTGCGCTAAGTGTAACTTCTCGGTACTACTTTAATTAATGTGTTTTTTTTACTTAGGTATTTGGACTCGAAGTCAGGGAAATTACGAAAGGGATCCAGAGTTCCCGACTTTCAGCTGTACTACTTATCATTACACGAAGTACAAGTGCTACCACCGGTCTACACGTCTGCATTCCGCTTGGATCTGAATCCAATTATCCCTACAGAGCAGGTAATTGTGTACTTTTATTTTTTTTAAAGTGAATTCTGACATTGCTGATAATGTACCGCAGATTCGAGCCATTCGCTCGCGGTATCAATGTGACTGCAAAGGATTTTGGACGTCTGGATGGCTATGTAGCCACGTTCTTGCTGCTATGTCGCTAATGGAAGAGTATGACTTAAAGACAGCGGTACTCCATCTCCCTACCCGAAAGAAGAGTGGGGGACAACGCAAGGTTCGCAACGCACTACAGGAAGATGACATGGGCTACTTTGCAGTGTCGAAACTGGAGAAAGATCTTGTGAAAAAGCCGTCAATGCCCATAGGATGGAATATCACTATGCCAATGGAGTGCACAGGCGAGGGTGGTGCTATAACCAGACACAACGTACCGGGGCAGATTGAGGACTGGATAGATTGTGAAGGACCCAGAGGCGTCTTCTAGTGGACTGTTCGTTTTCGAACCGGACAAGAAATGCAATTTGAAGTTGGCCAGCTCGCAGCATTGATCAACGCAGAAGATCGCGATGGCCTAAACGTCACTGGCAAGCTCTTTCACGACTGACCACTGAGTCAGATGACGTGACATACCTCTTCTCACAATATGAAAGAGTCACATGGCATTACCAATTGACAGCACAAGGAAAACAGACTGCCCATTTCATTTGTAATCGCAATAAAAAGAACGCCAAGTATTGGAATGCATCTCACCTAGCCTATGGTTTGTTTTCATCCTTTTTTGTATAGCAAGTAAGCCGCACCCGTTTCCAGTTGGCTTCGAGGAAGCTGCCGATTTCTTAGCCGCCGATTTGATTCCATTCCACGCCGCTAAGACCAGATTGATGTGTTCGTAAAACTTCTCCATGAGACATCTGCAAAGTCGTTCCTTTTCCAGATTTACAAGCTTCTGGTAGTTTTCAGGATGAAAATAATGATGAAGGTCTTTATTCAATTGAGAATGAGTCAAATGAACAGGTTTGCCGTGTATAACCTTAAGAGCCTGGGCGTAGCTTAAATCGACGGAATTCCTTGTACATCTAAATTGAATATCTGGATTACTTATACAGTGTACAGAGCGAGAGACGAAAATGTCGAAGGTTAATAAATACGATTCACTCAGCTTAGATGAATTAAAAAATTATTACTCATGATATTCATTTAGGAAGTGAGTATGATAATTTGTCGGACACTACTGTAAATCTATACACCAGACACGAGAAGAATGTATTTTCAGCATCATACTATACCCAATTCAAGCGTATGATGATGAATCTCTCTTAGATTCACGTTTGAATGTAAGCAGTTTTGAAGTATCAAAATACTTTGGTTTCTTTTTTTCTGGTGCTCCTTTGCCATATGACTGACGCTGGTCTTCTGGAGCTGATTAGCTAGCATTTCGATGTTTGTTGATCCGTGATCACGTTTTGACGGTGCTATAGCTTTCAAGTGATCTACCTCAGCTGACCCATCTATTTCCATTGCCTGAGGCATAAATTGCCGTCTAATTCTCTTTCGTCGATGCATATTTATTTGAGTTTGTTGTATATAGACAGTGAATAAAATGTCATTTCCGATTTTGTTAAATCTCAATAATCAGGTAGTTACCCATCAGTTCCGATATCCATACTCACAGCCTATCGATTTCAGCCAGTATGAAATTGCCCTCGGATCCATATCCATTTCCTATTCGTGGAGAGCAGTTACAGCTTAGCGTCAAAACAACAGCTTTAAGATCATATGGCCAACGGCTTCGACGACAACTACAGACACAATTACGCTCTCAGATGGCACATATTCGGCAGCCGATATCAACAACTACCTTCAGTATTTTTGCATTCAGAACAATCTCTATTTGATCAATAATCCAACGGGTGCCTATTACTATTTCATATCTTGCGCTGAAAACCCATCAAGCTATGCCTTGTAATTCACGTTTCAACCAGTCAAGAATCTCACGGGCTTCACTGCTGCTAGTGGATTCCCACAATACCAGCCACTGCCTACACTCCTCAGATCCAAATTGATAATGCTGCGTTTGGAGCTTTTATTGGATTTACACCAGCTACATACCCCGCCGCTCAAACAACTAGCGTCTATTCGATCAATAGTAATTTGGTTCCGATGATTGACCCAACAGCCGCTGTTGTTGTCACTTGTTCAAATCTTTAAAATCCGATCGCGAACAACAGTCAAGTATTACACACATTTACTTCTGCTGGAGTTGAATATGGTGGATTAATCACAACGTCACAGGGACAGGGCTTAGCTTATACACCAATGTAGGGAACAAATTCAGAATTGATTTTGTCGTTTCTAGATCAAAATGTAACATGCCTGCAGACGTTTTGCACGAGCTGAAATCCGACGCTGAGTATGCGGACGAGAATGAACGAGAACGAGATCTACAGCGAGCAGTCGGCCCGATAACGAGGAGCCGCGCTAAGAAGATCGCACTGAGTGAAAACATGCGCGCAATGGGAGGAACGACGTGCGTCACACACACACCGAGCTGCGGCAGGTGCTCAACGGAGTAATTGGGACGATCGAAGAAGCCTTGGCTGGCTTCACTTCTCATTTGGACGAGCGGAGCACAAGTGGAGAGGATCTCACTTCTCTTTTGGTCGGACGGAACGCAGGCGACTCTGTGACTGTGCACCTGAACAAACTGAACGTACTGGACGACGACGCCGAGCGTTGCAACCCAGCTTCTGATACTGAAACGGAGGACGAGTAGTCTTCTGCTGCTGAACGAACGAACGAGCTGAACGACGTAGCTCTGTTGACGAACGGAGGTACGCTGAGCGACTGGTCTCTGTTAGTGTGACGGTGCTGCTAGAAGATCCTGAACTGGTACGGACGGCGACGACTGAGGTGTAAGGAAGCGGAGTTTGAGTGAGTCGTAGGACGGCAGCCGAGCTTCCGATCTTGCTGACGGTTGCGATGATTAGGACGGGCGCCCGAGGCGTAGAGGTCCGAGTGACTAAGTGAACACTGCCTATACTCGCTATTTGGACAAAGCAGAGGAGCATCGATGTAGTAGTTGGACGTAGACGGAATTGAACGAACGAACGATTGATAATAAAATAGGACGTGTAGCCGACTGGGCTCACGCTGGCGCGGGAGACTACGTTGGTCGACCGATAGCCATCGGACCTTAGATGTTTCAGCACTGATTCGAGACAAAACTCCAGTGTACGGGAGGAAAGACAACTAGAGTATATTACAAAAATATGATCCTGTTTGGTCTTATTTATAATAATTTGTGTATTTGTCTGCTGATTCGGCCAAAAAAAAAGAATAGCAGTGAATAAGCACTAAACTTATTAACTAACTTCTTTTTTTTTTACAGATCGCAAACGGATTCAATCGCGTTCTTGTATATCTTTCTATCAGTGATATCCATCATCATCGTGCTCATTTTTTCGGACGTTGTTCGTTTGTAGAGATCGATAAATGTTTTAATTGTGATGTCAGTGGGGAAGTCGCGACAGATGATACCAAGGTCTCTCTGCGTTAGATTCTTCCCAAGTATCACGTACTGAGAGTTGATTCGAATAGTCTTTGGAATACCAAAGTAGCTCTGCGAAATGTAAACCATTCACCATCCCAGCTTACGTCCTCGAATAAAGTATTGTCCAATTTGTGCTTGAGTCTTCTTTGGTTCTAACACGAGGTCATCGAATATGATCAACTTGCTCGTTTCGCTATCATATTCACTCATTGCTGAAACCACCCCTTCTTCAATGACTTGAACATTATCGATAGTGTCCTTGAGATGATCATAAACCGTTTCGTTGGTCTTTGTGCATATGACAATCTTTGTGAAACATTTACTTAGAAGGGCTATTATATACAGCACGGTGTTTGACTTCCCTGTCTCTCTCGGCGTTGCTACACACATGGCAGCTCGAAGTGCTTATTATGAGGAACTTCTTCAGCTTTGACTTCGGTATTGATTCGTAGAAAATTTGCATTGTATAGTGATCAAAAATGTCTCTCCTTCCAATTATTAATTCTCCTCTGTTCAATAGCTCTTACTTTAACGCATCTAGTGGATATCTTACTATAGCTATAGGCGATCAAAAATATTTGCGGCTTGGTGGTGTTGGAGCGTTGTCAGCATTGAGCGTTGCTGGTAAACTCGATTGCGGTTCGCTTACAATTGGTGGATCTGGGCTAGGTTTGAGTGGATTATCATATGTTTCAGGTATAACGCCCGGCAATGGAGCTGCCTCAACGGCTCTCGTTTTAGATTTGTTCAAAGTAACGGAATGTTTTTCTTTTGAGACAACGCATGGTCGTCGCTTGGGTTGGGAGAGTATGTTGGAACAAGAAGACGTGAGAACGATTGCGATGGTGTGATACCAGTGCCAGCAGTTGGAGTGCCATTAACGTTGGCTGTAATTGTAAGTGTGACCGCAGATACCGGGAGTGCAAGACCACCGGCCAAGGCAGTAGTTGTGATGTCACTGATTAAATTCCAAAGCACTGGGCAGGTGTTACCAAAATTCATATTGTTGCTCAAACTAGCAATAGTAGCAGGCGCAACGACACCGGCACTACCAGTTATAATCAAAAGTAGTAGATGAACTGTTGTAATTTAGGTAAATGAAACCGCGCCTATTCTTTTGCATTGGGTATTTCTTGAAATAGTCAGAGATATCCCACAACTTGATGCAAGCAAGATACTATGCGACGTAAAATGGCGAACCAGCAGAAACGGCACCAGCCGGAGCCGCATAGAAATACGGCTTGAAGATTTGCGCTACCTCCCATTACATCAAATGCAAGTTTGCCACTATGTTGATCGAGGGTGGTAAATAGAGATCGCTGCGCAGCACCTCCATTCGAGAAAGTGTTTGCAAACCAAACTCACAGACCCTATTTGTTGCTGTCATAGACTATCCAGTAGCAAGATTATCTGTGCTTCCTTGAATCGTTGGAGTAGTATAGTCATCAAGAACGAAATTGCTGGTCGGACCATGTTTGACAAATGAGTTATAATCCGTTTCAGTCAGAGCTATGAAAGTTGTATTCACATTCTCATGAACTTGATTCGTTTGCACAGTGGTCCCGTCAATACCAACCTGAACACTATCAATAAATTGCCATGCACCGGCCGTAGGCACCAGTTGGTCCACAGTGCATGCGGCAGTCGAAGGGACCAAACCGGTACCGCCATTTAGAATTTGAAGCTTAATTGGAAGCTCGATAACGACTTCTTCCCAATTTACAAATGCTGCTTGCGAAGAGATCGTTGAGAGATTGAATTGGATTTGGCCGGCATACTGACCGGTGTTCGTAGTGGAATCTTGGATGTAGGTCCATTTCTTATCGCGAAAGAGCGTCTCAGCCGGAGCTGGTCCGACGGAATGTTCGAACGCGGAAATATCAGAAGCGGAAGACATAGTTTATGCGGTTTGATAATGATTATATTATATGATCCGAAAGAATAGGGGTATCATGAGCGAAAAAAGAATTATTAAATTGTCTAGAATGCCGGACGACCAGCTAATAAAACTTGCTAACTTTCTTGGAGTCAAAGTAGATCAGATTGACTTCAAATAGTATCTGAATAGAGACAAAGCCTGCTGCATTCTGAACATGGGAACACCTCAGATCGGTGGGACGCATTGGTTGGCAGTCTCAAACAAAGACAAAGCTCACTTCGATCCTCTTGGCTTGCCAAAACCACGGGTGATCCCATAAGATTATTCTTACCGTGAGATATCAGAATCCGCGGTTCCGACGTTGCGGACAGTATAGCGTCCTGTGGCTTTACTATCTTCAGCACGGAAAACTCAATGATTTCTACAAGCTTTTCAAAGATCAACCTGGCGAATTTTGATAATGCTTTTATATAGACATGGATCTTACGAACTTAGATTATAAGATCATCGACGAATACGAGAATTATAACGAATACTTTGTGAAAGTATTTGGACATGGAGAAGGTGTTTGATTCCGTTTCATTTTGTATGATCCAGACCTCGATGTGTTTGTGTTGAGAGTGGATCAGGTGCTCTGCCGGGATCATCCATTAAAATATGGGCAGCTCATTATGGCAAATCCCGGCTTCTGCGAAGTTGAGATACAAATCTAACTATGTCTCTTTATGATATACACAGAGCCACGCAATGGATGTCGAGTATATTGACACACAGGATCCTGAACCAATTCACATCAGCAGTGATTACTACTCAATCGCTAAACCAAAGCCAAGAATAATAGATCAATCACGTATTACCCTGGAAGAATTTAATTGCATCATCAAAAATCTTTCTCCGGCCAAAGTTTGTATGGTAGAAATAGCTTCCCTCGCGCAATTGCAAGCCAAATACCAGTAGATGAACTCATTTTTTATGATGTCTGAGTACTACAATCCCGCAAGATTTACACATAAGCGCCTTATGTAAATGTGTCCATGTGTTAATTATTTTGTACTCATTATCGAAACAGGTTTTTTTTGCTATGTTTCGATACACTTAGATGTATCGAAACATAGCAAAAAAAAAAAAAACCCTGTTACTTAGATGTCGAGCTCATCGTTAGTGTCCGGTATTTGTCCGGCTTGCGTCCAACTTTTATGTCCATCTTTCTTTCATTAGAAGTAGCAATATCAACTCTAGATCAATCTATATATCTCAGTGTCCAGGTGTCTGTCTTTCTTTTAGTTTTATAAAGAATATTATAATAAGTAAAAGGCTATAAGACGGTAATATAAAAAAACATAAAATTTTTAAAGATTTGGATGTTTTTCAGCGTGATTTTTTTTTATTTTTTGGACGAAAATTGTCGTTATCGTTATGTACTGCAATAATTGTAAAAAAAAAAACTTTTTTATACAGAAAAACACGCTCTTCACATCTTAAATGGGAATGGAAAGAAATATTTCGAGAGATCTAGATTGGCTGGGATGGCATTCAGACGAAAAAAGCCATTAAAAATTTAATGGTTTTTTTCGTCTGAATGCCATCCAAGCATAAATTATTACGACCCAAAATTGGACTATTTTGAGTTGGGTTCCGAATAACTCAAATAACCCATTGGCTGGATGGCATTCAGGAGTTTTAAGCACTAAGTTATTAGGGTCCCTGGGAACTGGGTGGCATAACTTAATTGTCTACATGCGAGCAACAAGCAGAACCCGTGTGTGCGGCCTCAACAGCCAGGCCGGTTTTCTCTTTGAGCGCAAGCGCAGAACGCGTTGCGTCAACGCAGCTTTGGACGAGCCGGGGGTATCATGGGCACTTCGTTGAAGCGGTCTCGCGACCAAGACAGTGATAGCGACGAAGAAGCACAAAGGCATCCGTGGCGGCGACATGAACGCAGTGCAGCAAT